CCCAATCCTTCTTTGCTGAGGAGTCTGTTGGATGCTGTCTGCTCCACCCACCGGGGACATAGGCCCACAGCAGCCCAGGATCCCAGACCCAGCAACTGAAACAGGTGGCTTCATATTCCACTGCCAGAAATGGAAGTGAAAGTACCAGCAGCTTCACAAAGATGGAGATGAGATTTTTCTCTCCCGTTAAGTCTGCATGGGACAGCTGATGGTTAGTGATGGGATTTTTGGCCCACAAAAAATAACTGGAAATCAAAGCTTTTTTCCCCACTCACTGTTATGCTTGTGCGAGATGGTGGCTCCTGGCTCAATGGTCCAAGGTGGCAGCCAGAGCACACACTGAGGTCCACATCCAGACAGGACAGAGGAAGGGACAAAGAAGAGACAAAGGGTTACAGATTTCCACAAGTTGCCATATAGCCTTTGTCACCTGCCAGACCTCAATCCCAGGGCAGGTGGGAAGAGGTCAGTACAGCGGCGTGTCCAGCTAAGGGGCCACTCCTGTGGAGAGAGAGGAAGCAGACAGCATCAGGCCACAGGTTCCAGGCATGCCTCAGTGGGCAGAGGCAGCACAGGAACCCAGGGCTTTGTCACTTGTCCATGCCAGGAGCAAGGCTGAAGTTAGCAAAAGCTACCTGAAAACAGGGAGAGGAGGAAGTCACGTGGGTGGAATACTTTCACTGGATCCAACACCACCTGGATAGATGGAACCTTCCTAGAAGGGGATGGGGGTGCATACCATCTGTCCAAGACCGAGCAGCTAAGGAGTTACAAACCCAGACCCATCTAATCCTGCGGGGTGGGGGTGGGGGGTTGGGAGGCCCCACCTAGAGTATCCTGCAGCACCCACATTGCCAGTTCAAGGGCAGCCTCTGTGGCTTGGGCGCATGCCTGGAGATCATGTGGCCAGGTAACCCTGAGATGCTGAGCAGGGAGACAGTGCCCCAGGCATGCTGAGTAGGACAACAGGAAACAGGGTTCCTTGTGGCACCAGATTCCAGGTACTGGTTGGCAAGGGCATCTACGCCTCGGGCATGATGTCAGCTGCCACTCCAGGGCCCTGGCATAATCGGCAGGTGTTGCCTCCCACCATCTTGCCTCTGCCTGGTAGGGCTGCTGCTGCTCATCACCCGTCGCCCAGCCCCCGGTTCTCCTGGCAGTGCCGGAGGACATGGTCTTCGGAAGTAGCATATCTCTCTCCCACTCCCAGCAGCCGGGTTACCAATCACTGTGCTGCCCCCACCAATCAGCTCACTGTGTGTGTCTCCCACAACCCCTAAACACAACCACTCCGTGATCCAGGACCCTGGCCACCCTGCAACCTTCAGCTGCCTCCACTCTGCCCCCACCCCCCTACCCCTAGTCTCCCTCCCCACCCACCAACCTTGTGTCTCTGAGCAATGGCCATCACCATGGGAGGCTGCCACACGCAAGGTCACCAGCATTCCTGCCAAGGATGGGGACAGGGGTGACTCAGTTCCCGCTTGCTCATCCCACAGAAGGAGAAAGTGGGGGAAGGAGGAGGCACTGGGGCCCCATGGCTGCTGCCTTCAGCGTCACCAAGGGAAAGGCTGTGTTCCCTGTCTTGGGGAGCCTCACCTTGTTAGAGTTGGGAACAGGGAGGCCCAGCAAGTGCCTCTTTAAAGCCAAAGGCAGAGGCAGCCCATAAGCAGACTCTAGTCTGACGAGGGAGGGAGTCCTCAGTCTGATGGAGGAGGCAAGGCCTCCTTCCTGGAATAACCTGGTTGTACCCTTAGGGAGGGGGGATTTGGTGTGGAGGGGGCAGGGGTGGCTGGTGGCTCCTACAACAGGGCCGTGGTGAGGAGGCCCAAAGCCTGGGATGACAGAAGCTCTTGGCCCCTGGCCTTCCAGAACATTTTGCCAGCCTGTAGGTGCAGGAACAGGAATGAGAGGCTGGAGCCCGTGGGCCACTGGGCTCTGTCCCCAGGGGGAGGCCACAGATCCTGCTAACCCTGGGAACAGAGATGGCATCCCCACAGCCCCTTTTCCTCTGTGAGGACCCAGGGGCCCAGGAAGAGGCTGGTGCCAAGCATCAGGACCAGAAAGACTGTTCCAAAGAATTAAGACTTGTTAGCAGAATTCGTGCAGGGAAGAGCTGTCTGGCTGCTGTGGACAGCGGCAAAGGCAGGGAGAGGCGGCCGAGTGTGCGTGAAGGTGGAATGAAGTTATTAAAATGAACCCACCCCCTGTGCGGGCAGAACCGTGTGCCAGGCCGGCCGGGCCCTCCAGCTGTCGGTAGCATCTGGCTCTCTACAGGAGAGGCAGGGAGGTAGGGAGGGGTCACAGTGCCCCGGGGTGTCGATGAGAATCCAGCTCCCTGTTCCCTTCCTCGCATCCCAGCAACCTGGCCTGGGCTCCTGCACAATGGTCAAATGGGTGTCCGAAGGAGGGAGAACCTTCCAGACCCCAGCAGTCTTCCACGGGGAGGTGAGGAGTAGGGCTTAAGGCTTTAAGTACCTCAGGAGATGTGACCCTGGAATATACAACACAGGGATAGGGGTGGGGAAGAATCAGGCCAGGAGATTTTTTTTGCCCTCTCTGAGGCCCCTCTTACAAGCAGGCCGCCTTGCTCAGCTCTCCCTGTCAAGAGCATCGGGCTAGGGAGGCAAGACCCCACCCCTTAGACACACGTCACTGGGGCTACCCAGCTGGAAGAGACCAGGGGACCTGTGCACTGCCTCCTGCGTGACCTGGTGTGGTCTCCAGAGGTGCCCCCCGACCTTGGCAGTGGGGCTTCAGTCCTCCCTCAGCAGGTCAGCTGGAGCAACTCCCCTAGGCCCCTCACGCCATCTCCACTCCAGGCTGCTCCTTCCTTAGCATGCAGAACCCCGTCCTCTGGAGTCCCTAGGAAGTGGAGGTTCGCAAGAGCAGCCCTGGGAACTATCACAGGCGGTGGATATCAGACCATCTCTACTGCATGTGGTGCCAGATGCAGAAAGGGACTTGGGGGGCATTTGAGCAGCTTCCACAGTGTGGCCCTAAGCCAGCAGCAGCACTGCCTGGCCCTGGAGGGAAATGCAGACTACCAGGCCTCACCCCAACCTGCTGAGTGAGAACGTTGGCTGGGACCCAGCAGTATGTGTTGAGATGAATCCTCGGAGTGGTGACCCTGCAACCCACGCATGCTGGAAAGTCGCTGGGTAGAGCAGGACAGGGCAGGGCAGGGCTGAGCTGGGTTGGGTAGGGCTGGGTAGGGCTGTACAGGGTTGGGCAGGGCTGGGCAGTGCTGGGCTATGCTAGGCTGGGTAGGCCAGGAATGGGCTGGGCTGGGTTGGGTTGGGCTGGGGTGGGCAAGGCAAGGCAGGGCTAGGCTGGACTGGGCTAGATTAGGCTGGGCAGGACTGGGCTGGGCAGGGTAGGGCTGTACAGGGTTGGGCAGGGCTGGGCAGGGCTGGGCAGGGCTGGGCTATGCTGGGCTGGGCTGGGCTGGACTGGGTAGGCCAGGAATGGGCTGGGCTGGACCGGGCTAGGTTAGGCTGGACAGGGCAGGACTGGGCTGGGCTGGGCAAACTGCTCTTGTGAGAGGATGGACTGTAACAAGAGCTAGAGAGAAAGAACTTGGCCAAGGCCAGTGAGGAAAGCCACCACAGGGAGCTGGGCATTTGGCACAGCAGTTTATCCAAGATCTTGGGATACCCCCTTCTGACCCACTCCCCGCTAATGCGCATCCTGGGAGGTGGCAGCTAACAGCTCAAGTCCTCTGGTGCCTGCTACCCACAGGGGAGACCTGGATGGAGTTCCTGGCTGTGGCTGGCTCAGGTCTGCTTGTTGAAGGCATTTGGGGAGAATTAGTAGGGGAAAAAGACGGTGTGTTTGTGTGTGCATACCCCTCTCTCTTTCAAATATAATTTTTAAAATTTTTAAAGTTTTTAAATGACAGTGCAAGGACCCATGGGCCCTGTGGGTGGTGAATCAGGATGGGCAGCACACAGCCCTGACTGGTCCCACTATGAGTTCTCCTCCCCCCACACCCAGTACAGCCCCCCAGCTCTGCTCAGTGTCCTGCTGCTGGCTCTGGGTAGCCTGGGAAGATGGTTGCAGAGGGAAGCCCCCAAGCCTTCTGTTAGCGCAGCCACCCGAGATATGCTGGTCAGATCCAGGGCACCTGGGGCCCTCTCCCCATGCCCTACCTCCCCCCACCCCCCACCAGTGCCGCCGCAGACTCAGAACTCAATGTCAGGGGAAAGTTTTATTCCCTGCTCCAAGAACAAGACTCTGCACACAGAAGTGGACAATCAGGTGATTTCACAGATCTCCCTCCCTCCCCCCTCCCCCCAGACAACGATGCACTGGGGAACTGGGCCAGGACCCTCCATGGTATGGTCCCACCCAACCCCACAGGCCAGAGCGGGAGGCCACAGCCCTGGCAGGGAGAGCTTAGAGCCAACAGGTAAGGCTAACAGTGACGACAGAAGACCCTCTCTCTGTGACAAGGACACTCCCAGAGGAGCCAGCAGGGGTGGAGGGAAGGAGGGACCACAGTGGTCCTAACTCAGCTTAGAGAGGGGTGTGCATCTCAAGAGGGTGTAGGAGGGAGGACATGCCCACAGGAAAGGGAATATCAGAAAGGGGTCACCTTGCTGCAAACAGGTGGCCTAGGGGTCAAGACCTCCCAGACCCCAAGGGTCACCACTTTTACCCCAAGCTATCCTAGCGACATGATCTAGGCTCAGGGCTGCCCCCTGAGCTGTGCTCATGAGTGCCCACACTCCCCTCCTTGATTCTTGAGGATCCCTGTTTCAGCCCTGGACACTCATATGACCCGCCTGGCATCCATGAGGATGCAATGCCCCCTTCCCGACACTGTAGTTGTCTAGGATGGTGGGAGGGCCCCCGGGGGGTGTGGGCTGCTCTCTCTGACTCTGTCTTCCCTGGGGGACTTGGGACACCAGCACCTGTGAGGCTGCCCAGGGAACCTGCTCCCCTGCCAGTGCTCCCCTGCCAGTGCTCCCACACTCCAAGTGCTCACAGTCCAGGCTGTGGCCAGTGCTGGGGACCCCTTCCTTGACACTGGAGACTCGGCCTGGGCAGCACTCACTTGGCAGTTCCTCCTCTCCACTCCCTTCCTTGCCTGTCTGCCTGCAGCAGCCCTGCCCTGCCCAGTGTCCGGACAGGTGGATGGCCTCCTTCTGCATGGGGGATGGAGGGGCAGGCCCGTCCTCTCAGCCGTGCCTGGGCTCACCCCGAGGGATAGTAGGGGGAGTCACTGTGGTAGTTGTAATCTGGGCACACCTTCTGGACCAGCCGATAGTCCGTGCTATAGAAGGCAATGTAAACACAGACGACCTTGAAGGGTTGGGAGCAGCTCCACGTGGCCGAGCTCTGGGCGTGGTCTCGAGAGCAGGTCTTGGCTGGATCGTGGGTGCAGAGCGAGGTCCTGCGGCCCCGTTCCACCTTCTCCCACTCCATCCGGCAGTTGAAGATCTTGGAGGCCTTGGCTTCGATGAAGATCTGCTGCTCTTGGTGGAACTCCACAGCTTTGCTGGGGGGCACAAGACTGATGGAGATGTTGCCCTGGCCCGTGGCGTTGTGGCGGAAGTGGACGCTGAAGGTCCCGTTGCCGTGGTCCACGATCTTCCCCGTGACCAGCAGGTTTAGGGCCACCGTCTTAATGTTGGAATAGAAGTCACCCCAGCCAAATATTTTCTTCACCTTGGCTGAGGGCGAGGGGCTGCGGTTGGGGGGCTGCCCGAGAACCCCCCAGGCTTCTCCCGGTGGAGCCAGCAGCCCTAGGAGCGTGGAGCTGGCCACAGGGCGGGACCTGGGTGAGATGTGGCCCCGTTTCCTAGGAACCCGGGACCGGGAATGGTCCTCGTGGTTGTCAGGTTCAGGGTCTTCCGAGCCAGGGGAGCCATCATCCTGGCCACAGATGACCTAAGGGGGAATTGGGAAGAGAGTGAGAGTCCTGTCCCAAGAGGACCCAGGAATTCTGGCCCATGCTCCCCATCGCCAGCAACCTCTCCATTCTGACAACAGGTATATGCTCTGGCTGCCCTGACAGCCCTGGTTTGACGTCATGACACTCAGGATGTCCCATTTCTGCTTCCCAGTGGCCTATCTCAGACCACAATTCAAGTCTGAAGGATGGGAGGTCCCTCCAGAATCAATGATCTGAGGACACATGGTTCCTAAGCCTTGGGGAGTTCCTAGTCTGATGGCAGGAGCTCAGCTCCTGCCCTGGGAGAAGTCCCTGTCTGATGGCAGAAGCCGCCTCCTCATGCTTACAGCTCCCAGTCTGATGGGGCTGGGGAGTGGGGTAGGTAAAGACCCTGCCAAGGTGAAGTTTCCAGGCCAATGGGGGAGGCACGCTCTCTGCCCATAAAAAGCCCTTGAGTTGGACAGGGGAGCCTTGTTCTGATCTGGGAGAGCCCCCAGTTTAACAGGAAAGGAACAACTCCCACTTTGGGGAACTTTCAGCCCTACCCAATGATGCCAGCAGATATAAGAAAACAAACTTTGGTGAGATTATCAGCCAAGCACAAACATGGAAGGACTGGGGGGAGATGGGAAGTGACCCGTACTCCAGATGGCCAGGGGATAGAAGGGGAGATACTTGCCTGTGGACCACTGATGGCAACACGAGGCTCCTTGAGTCACATGGAAGGAGTTTGTATTTTCCCCACTTCCCAGCCAAGGACATGGTGGCTCAGGGGCCGAGTCATGTCAAGGCAGCCCTCCCAGGACACACACCTATTGTTGGCCTCACTGGTGGGATGTGGCTTGTTAAAACAGACTTTTAGCCAAGCTCTGTCCCCTGGGTACCTCCTGGAAACTCTGCTGGATCAGATCGAGTGACAGGTCACACCTGGGAGGGCCAGCAGGCGTGACAAAGCTGGGCGTGGGGACAGCCCTGCTGGACAGCTGGGACTTGAGGCCGTCCCCTGGGGGGCAGTGGCCTGGTTGTGTCTTTGCTCAGCCTCTGAAAGGCAGTCTTTGCCCCATGGTCTGTACTTACAGGCCCCAGGGTCACCTGCGCCCAGGCAGCAGGTGGCGGCTTTGGGGGTGCAGAGGGGAGGGCTCCAAGGGGGCATGGGGTCTTACCGCCCCTTTCGGGTCTCCGAAGTGTCGGTGGATGGAAGCTGCCACCCAGCGGTTTCTGCCCTACAGCCAGCAGGGAACGGGGCCGGGGCGGGGGGACGGGTAGGGGTGTGGTGGCCCTAGAGCCGGGTACCGGACTGCAGAGCTGTCTGTCCGCGGTTCCCGAGGTCACGGCTGAACGGCTGGAGGGTGGAGAAAAGGGCCGCAGCGGCGGCGCGAGAAGGGAAGGAACTGGCCCTCCCCCGGGGATCCAGGGGTGGCAAGAAAGCGGGTTATTGTTTGGGAGCAGGGGCAGATCCAGATGTGTGGTTCTAGGGTCTATAGGCAGCGGACGCTGGGGTCGGGGAGGAGTGAAGCCCCGGCAGGGGTCGGGGTGGGGTTCCCCTGCGTCCCGGGCCGCTAGGGAGCGGTCAGCCCGCGCTTGGGGAGCGGGATCTGGGCGCTCCGCTCGGTTGCCGCCACGAGCGCCCGGGGCGGGAGCCGCCTGCCCAGGTCCTGTGGGGCTCGGGCTGCGCGCAGCCGGGAGAGAGCAAAACAACAGGCGGGGAGGGCGGGAGCGCGGGAGAGGCGGGAGGGACGCGGGGCCGTCTCCGCCGGGCCCCGCCGCGCGCGCTGGGGCACCCAGAGCCCGGGGTGGGGGCGAGTAGAGCAGAAGCCCTGGGACCCAAACACGGCTCCACGCCCCCTCGCCGCACCCGCCTTCCACGCGTCCTGGGGCGCCAGGGAAGGGGTCAAACGACCCTTGGCGCGCCCCAGCTCTTTCCTGGGGCGCCGGGCGCACCTCCCGCCACTGGGCGCGTAGTGGGTGGGCCAGCCAGGCACCTGCTCCCCGCCCCTATTAACCCTTTCTGCCCAGCGTCCGGCCTCGGACCCGCCCTCTACACACACACACACACACACACACACACACCCCAAGCCTCCGGTCTTCCCCTTCTGTCCCCGGGATGCCGGGGGAAGGGAGAAAGTTTCAGGGCTCGGCAGCTTCCCGCGCTCTCCCCGGATGGTGCGGGCCCCAGCCCCGCCGCGCCTTTCCCCGCGGGCCACTCACCAGATACAGGCTGCCTTGCAGTAGGAACACGAAGCAGCAGCGGGTCAGTTGCATCTTCCTCCTTTCTGTCTTCCTCTCCTTTCGGGGCCCCAGGCCCCGTAGTCCCCTTCCTGCGCCTTCAGGCGCGCCGTCCCATGCTCCGATCCCCGGCGGCTCCCGGCCCTCGGCTCAGCCCGTCGCCCAGGACCGACCCCGCCCCCTCCGATCCAGCTGTGCAGCCGCCGCCCCCTCCTCGGCTCCAGCTGCGCGCTGCGCGGGGGGGCCCTCCTCGAAGTCCCACCTGCGCGCCCCGAGCGCCTCGAAGGGCCCCAGCTGCGCGGTGGCTCCGCCGCTCGGGCTCTGCGCTGCCGGGCCCCCTCGGCCCCAGCGGCGCAGCTCTCGCCCAGATGTGCTGGGGACCTGCGCGCGCGCCCGTCCCCGCTGCTAATTCCCCAGATCAGACGGCCCCTCCCGCCCCGTCGCGGCGCGCCCTCTGGCGGACGCCCCGCCCCGCGCCGCGCTGCGCCCCGGCTGCCCGCTGCCTCGCGCCGCGAGCGCTCTGGGCGCCCCGGCGACTCCCGCTTCCTCCTTCCTCCCACCGGCGGCGGTGGCGGCGGCAGGTACAGTGAGCCCAGCCGGTACCTCCGGAGTTAACTCCTCCCCTGCCGGCCCGCAGCGCGGGCACCTAGGACACTGGCCCTCCAGCCCGAGGCGGTCAGGACGCCGGGCCGGGGAGCTCTGGAGGGCCAGGACGAGAGTGCTGGCCAGTGACTAGCAGCTCTGACCTTTCTGACGCCTCTGGCAGGTCATCGGTTCTCCCTGGAGCGGACGTCGGGGTGGGCTGCGCCGCCACCCCGCCACCCCCCCACGCTGGAATTGGGACAGAGCCGTTTTCCCCCCCATCCCACTCTAAGAGCCAAATGAGGACATCTCCTCGGAAGGGCAGCCTGGGCCCTCAAGGGCATGTCCACTCTCTGCAGGACTTGCTGTTGTGCCAAGGGAAGTTCTTCCAGGTGTCTAGCCAGTACTCCTTTGGTTACCAAATCCTTTCCAACTGCTGTATTCGGAGGGGCTGGCATCATCTCTGGGCCGTCTCAGAAGGTACAGAGGATGTGGCAGGGGGTCCTGAGTGGAAAAGACCCAGATGGGCTGGGTTGGATTCTGGGGCTGGGGTCAGGGGTCAGCCCCTTGAGTAGCCCTCAAGGGATGGGAGTGAAGCAGGCAAGGGGCTCTCTGGTGGCTGTGGTTCTGTCCTTGACCATGACACAGGCATCTCCATGTGGAGGTGCTCCTGTGTCCCCCCACCCCTTCAGGGTCCTCATATCTCTGGGCTCTACAAAGCACTTGGTGGAGGAGGACGCAGGAGCCCCAGACTGGAGGTCCCCAAAGGTCATGGGGTTGGGGTTGTCTCCATCCCCCCACTCCCTCTCTCCAGGTCTCCTTCCTGGGATTCCAGGCGCCCCCCCCCCCCCCATTTAGGAGGAAAGGTCAAGTCCTTGCACCCCCTTGGAGGCTGTGAGGCAAATGGGTACTGTGCCCTGTGGCCCTCCCGGGCCCAGCACGCACCCAGCCTCCTCCCCCACCATCTGCCAGGCGGGTGCGCTGGGAATGCAGATGAATCTTAATATCAGCCTGGGCCAAGTGCGATGAGGGAGACAGATCTGCAGAACCCAGACAGCAACCACTGAGCCCCCCATTATGTGCCAGGACCCCCGCCCCCGCCATTCCAGAGCACAGCAGTAACCCCTGGGGCAGGTGTAGGGGGTTGGAGGATCTAGTCCCAGACTCCCAAAGCCAGGGGAGGCAAGGAGGAACAGAGCGATCCTGGGGTGGCCTCCTAGCCTCCGGACTGGCTGGGAGGAAGAAGCCGGAGCGTGGGCAGCTAGTTCCGGCGCTAAGCCAGGCAGAGGCGGAGCCGGGCCCACTCCTTGTCCGTTCCAGAAGGTCTTGTCCCCGGGAGGCCAGTGTGGTCCGGCAGCTAACTTGGTACTCGGCACTTGGGCCAGACAGCCACAGATTTCATTCCACACCTGGCCCTGCTGTGTGACCTTGGGCAGGGGAATGAGACTCTCTGATGCCAGTTGTCCCGGTCTAGTGTTGCAAGAACAGAGATGAGGGAGGTGTGCAGACAAGGTAGCCGGCAGGCAGGCAGGCAGGCAGTCGTAGGAGTTCTCACAGCTCCGCTGCTTCCCACACATTTGCTCTGGCTGCTTCTGCTGCTAGACATGCCCTCGCGCCCCTCTCGGCCGTTCCTGGCTCCCACTTCCTACCAGTTTCAGCTCCATGTGCTTCCATCAAACACGGGCTGAGCCTGCCTTCCGTGCTAGGCACCTCGCCAGGGGCTGGGCTGCAGAGATGAATGGGGTACTGGTCCTACCCTCCAGGATCTCACTGGCTAATGGGCAGCAAGGACACATGTGTCTAGCATCACATCTCTTAGTTGACAATTGGAATAGCAGCAGGTCCATGCACAAGGCATACGGACGCAGAGAGTGGGACCAGGGTGAGGCAATCAGAGGTGGCTTCCTGGAGGAGGCGGTCCTGGAGTGTGAGGACTCTGCTGGACCAGAGGGCATTGAATGAGTGGGAGCTGAGGGCAGGTTGATGTTGCTGGAGCCAGACTAGAGAGGCGGGGCAAACCTGAGGGTGTAGGACCCTCGCTAAAAGCAAAGCCTTTGAATCTTAAAGGCGCTGGTGATTACCATCTGATTTGCATTTTCAAAAGCTTTTGGAGAATTTTCCTGCAGGAGGAGGAGACACTCGAGGGAGAGAAGAAGGAAGGAAGTAGTTAGGACTGAAAGGGGTGGGCTAGGGACGGGTGGGGAATGTCCGGCCCCCCATGGGCTGGGTGCCAGAATCCCTAGGCCTGCCCCTGCCAAGGCAACCACAGGTGGGATTCAAAATTCCATCCCTCTAGAGAGAGCAGCTGACTTTTAAGTTGATAATTGTATGTGCCAGGGCAGCTCAGGGTAGACAGGAGATCAGATGGAGGAAGGGGTGGTGCCCTTGGCTGGCTGATCAGATGGGCACCGCAGGCGGGGCCGGAGGATGAGACTGAGCTGAGCGGGATCAGTAAGGGCCACCCAAGGGAGAACGTCCAGCCTGGGGTGCTGGAGTGGAGAGGGTTCGAGAGAAGCAGCAGGCAGGAGCCTGGGGCACCCTGACATTTTAAGGGGTGAGCAGCAGAGGGGACCCCCCTAAAAAAGCACCCTGAGGAGGGACAGGCAGCCAGGGCAGTGGGGCATGGAGGGTGGAGTCTGGCAGCTTGAGCAGGGGTGTTCACACTCACGGGGTTCAGCAGAGTGGGAGGCAGGATGGCCCTAGTCACTGCGCATCCTCCGAGGCCCACCCCAGACAGCCTGAGCTGGCCTGTGGGGCCCTGTGACTGTGCAGCCTCAGTGGAGGCTAGAGGAGAAACTCAGGTGTGTGTGTGTTGGGAAATGAACAGCAAACATCGCCGAGAACTTGGGAGACCTGGCATGGGAGAGACAGAAAGGGGACCCCTGGGTCTGGCTGAGATTCCTCAAGACAGGCCACGGGCACAGCCCCAAGCACCACAGTGACTGAGCCTCAGGGAATGCCCAGACCATGTCTGTCTTTCAGACCCACTGTTTTGTCTCTCCATCAGTCTCTGTGCCCTGGCCTGCACACCATGGTTGTTCCAAGAAGGGGTGGTGGTGGCGCGGCTGGGGGTGGGGGGCAGAAGTAAACACACAGTGCCCGCCCTCGGGTGGGATTGTCAGACGTGGGCCTGGCTCCTCGACTGATCTTCCCTGCTCCTGCCTTGCCCTGAGAGCTATCCTGTCTGCCTGGCTTCCCTCCCCAGCAGTGACTGTGGTGGAGACAACAGCTCACTAGGCACCTGTTCAGAGCCTTGTGGGTGATTGGCAAGCAGGGTTCCTGATAGCCCGAGAGGCACCCACTGGAAGCCATTAAGCTGGTCGAAGGGGCCGGGGCAGAGGCAGGTGAAGGTCTTTCTTGCTAATAACCACTCCTGTGAGCTGGCAATGTGCAATTTTCAAGCTTTAGGATCGAACCCCGCATGCCTGGGGAAGGTGGCGGGGACGGGGTGGGGGGGCAGAGAGGGCACGGAGAGACTCTGAGTCCTAGGGAAGGGCCGAGGCTGTGTCTCCTAGAACTTAGCCTTCAGTGCTGGGGGACTGGCCCCTGTGGGAGGGGGGAGGCAGGAAGCTTCCTGCCAAGGGGGCCCCTCCTGCCAAGGACAGAGATGAAAGCGCGTCTGAGTGTGGGGTTCTAAGGAGGACGAGATGAAAGGCCCATTTGTTCTACAAATAGTTAGCCAGGGTCCACTTTTATGTCCAGCTCAGGCTGGGGTACGGCCGGGAGTGGGAGAGACCACAGTCTGCCTGTGCATGGAGGATTGGGCCTGTAGGCGCGACAGGCTCAGCTGGCGGAAACACTGGCTCTGCAATGCTGGCAGGTGGCATTAGGGAAGAGAGTGACCACTTCCCAAGGATAGGCCAACGAAGGAGCGTCCTAATGGACAGGGAGGGGCCCAAGCAAGCCTCGGGGTGTGTGTGTAGGGGGATGCCACCCTGCAGCCAGGACCCAGGGGACAAGCAGGTTCGCACCAGCTACGCAGCAAGGGGAGGAGTCTGCCTGGAAAAGGGAAAAAAACACACGTTAAGACCCTGAATTCCGGAAGAGCCCTGCGCTGTGGCCAAATGGAAAAAGGCTAAGTGTCCAGGAGGAGGGGGGAGAGGAGGAGAGAGCCTGGCAGTGAGGGGGGCGGCCAGGGCTTTGTGGGGCCGCCCCCTTGTGACTCAGGTGTTTGTGTTTTAAGCTAGAGTGAGATCCGCACTTGAGAAAGATCTTTCTGTGGGCAGCGTGACAGTGGGCCCGAGAGTGTGCGTGAACCAAAGCTGCCAGGTGAGGCTGGCCTGGATGAGCACTGGGACAGCAGGCTTGGAAGAAGCAGGTGGCCCAAGAGTCATGAGGGGACAAACAGGCGAATTAAGATTCCAAGATGTCCCCTCAGAATCTCTGGTTGAAAGGACACACGTGTTGTGCCCTCTCCTGGATCGGAGGCTGGGCAGGTGGCTAAGGGAGCCCAGAGGTCCTGGTGTAGGAATTTGCAAAGGCCAGAGTAAGGGTGAGGTGGGTGGGAGCCATCAGAAGGGGTCTGAGGCGGAA